TGGTGTTTTAGTGGTGTAAAACTCAACATGATAATGCACATGTACAACTGGTGTTATAGTGGTGTAAAACTCAACATGATAATGTACATGTACAACTGGTGTTTTAGTGGTGTAAATTCAACATGATAATGAACATGTACAACTGGTGTTTTAGTGGTGTAATACTCAACATGATAATGTACAGGTACAACTGGTGTTATAGTGGTGTAAAACTCAACATGATAATGCACATGTACAACTGGTGTTTTAGTGGTGTAAAACTCAACATGATAATGCAGGTATACAGGTATTACTACATATATGGAAATAACCTAAAACAGATGCCAGCCATCTTTGGATACAGAAATTACATTATTCCTAAACACTTATTGTCTCACTAGTTGTATCTGAACCAAATCTGAGGTGGAAACAACATTCAACCAGGACAACTTAAACATTTTTTTGCGTATGAATCATACTTTAATTATATATATACATATAAATCATACTGTAATTATATATATACATATGAATCATACTTTAATTATATATATACATATGAATCATACTGTAATTATATATATACATATGAATCATATTTCAATTATATATATACAATGCACATATGAATCATACTGTAATTATATATACATATGAATCATACTGTAATTATATCTATACATATGAATCATACTGTAATTATATATATACATATGAATCATACTGTAATTATATATATAAATATACTAAGCTGGTACTCAATTCCACATTAAAAGTTCACTACCAGAACAAAAATAATGCTGTGCTTTTCAACCTTTCTATAAGACATACTAAATAATTAGGTCAACTATTTATTGTGTTTCCTCTTAGCGGATGATAAACACTCACCATCTCTACATTTACCAGAACCATCAGTCTATATGATGGGTGCAGCAGTTATAAACTCACCTGTCCTGAGGATGGAGATTGCCACTAAGAACTGACACAAATACAGCTGCTTTGACAGAATCTCCTGGATGTTTTCTTGTCCCTCCACTGAAAACCCCTGAAATAACATAAAACTCCTTTTTATTCTTTGAAATCTGAAGCATCCAGTTTTCTATCAGTCTTTTCTTTATCATCCAGTTTAGTAATATGTTTGTATTAAATCACCATCCTGTATTCGTTATACAATTAAGAATCACTGGCTACTTTGTCACAAGGCCTTCGCATTCCAGACCAGGGGTCAACACTAACAATAGTCCGCTAGTCCTGGACTAGTAGATTTCAGCAAGGACTAGTGAATCACCCAACCTAACTGGTCCTTTAAACTTGTGAAAAATAGGATTATAAAATAAGAATATTACTTTTCAAAATTCAAAAACTGCTTTTATTGCACGATAATTGTCAAAATTTTCCTAAAACTTCACCATAATGTTATGGCAGTAGTTATTTTATATCCTCTACAGTCGATTACTTTTGATATATCATGCTGTAGATCGCAGTGTTTCCTTATCAGGAATTATTAGACTACGTGTAGTTATAATACATTGACGAAGGACTAGTAAATAATCTATTCAACTAGTTCTGTGGACTACCAAGCAAAACAAGTTAGTGTCTGTCCTTGCACACCATTCATGCTATCACTTATCATCGATCCAGATATTGTTAAACTAAGTATATGTATACGGAAAATATATCAGAGTAAACCACTTACTCCATCCGCCATCACAAAATGGAGGCCTAGTCCCTCTGTGTTTTCATGTACAAACTTGATGAATTCTGCCTGATTGTCTGGGTTAAAGATGTCCCCATCTCCTCCCATGCCTCCCACACCTGACAACCAATAAGCAATCATTTTACAAACAGTTATACAATTAAAATGTACCATGCAACCATATTCAAGCGTACAAATCATAACCCTTTTTTAACTTAAATGTCGTCATGAAAGAACATTTAAAACAATCATTATAATATGTTTGGTTACCATAATGGGGTTCAAACATCTCAGCCGGACCAGCAAAGAATTCCTCCAGCTTGAAGTCACACGCCCCTTTAAGGGTCATTCCAAACCCTTTAGCCTCCCCTTTTGCTCTCCACAGGATATATTCACTGAATCCCCCGGGCCCCGCACATATATCTGAGAAGTACAGCAGCTCACCCGGGTTGATGAGTGATTTCTGGAAATTTAAACAGAGTAATCCAAACACACATACTACACATACATTTAATTATAGAATCCAATGTCCATATAAAATCTTATTTACTTTGGTATAACATAATTTACAAGGTATCGCTGCAATCACAGTAAGCACCCTGATAAACACATCATGTCTTGATAATCGTTTTATAAATTACTTGTAACACTGAAACAGTTTATCAGTGATGACTGCTTACCCTACTCATATACTGATGGGATGTTAAGCCTAAAGTTGATAACTGAACTGAATTTCAAACTTATATAATTATTCAAAACATGATAATAGTGATAATTGCTCAAGTTCACAGACACCAATCATCGTAACACTGTTATAACAATGCACAATCCCAGATAACAGTGAATATGTCTAATAAAGACTGACACGTAGCCTCTTATCTAACTTAAATATACGCGTATTTTATCAAGCTTTTTCATTCTAGTAAATTTAAATTGGATTAGAAGATTGGCTATCAAAGTGATCATCTTTGACTAATTTGTTATGTTAATATCCAACCATCTTTCAAACAACTTTCCAGCTTGTCAGATTTAATTAACTTTTTATAGGAAAATGAAAATTATTCCCAAAATTGCCAACCACAGCTGGAAACCATTTAAGACAACCAATTTGCAAATTATGGATCATATATGCATTTATTAAACTTGTTCTCAAATATTACCAGCCAGAAAACAGGGCAACTGTTCTATCTGAGACTGGACTAAAGCATCGATCACAACTGTACTTAATGATTCCAAACTGGTCATCTTTAATTTTATTTTAACAGTATAAATCATAAGAAACGTCTGAGTCTCACCCCTTCCACCGTCTCTGGTTTTGTAAACATGAAATCAAGCACGGCATCCATGTTAGCCATCTTCATGGCAGCCCTGGAAGGTAGAGGGGTGTTACCATCATAATGCATTGTACAGCACAATTCTATCAATATCAGCATAAGACAGGAAGAAACAATGAGTTAAATTGATAACTGTAATTCAGCACTATATAATCACACAATCAAATTTTTAATTAGAATGGAAGAATATATATACAACCAATTAAACTAATGATTATAACAGAGGAATGCTCAGTATATTCTGTCTGTTTAAACCACTACACAATGTTATGTATTATTTAGTACAACCTGTCTACTCTGCACAAACTTACTGGTACTTGTGTTCATTAGACAGGTTTTACTGTACAACTAGCCAAACTGTTATAATATCTCTGACATGCATTCTTTAACAAGATCACCAATCAAGGACTCACCGGTTTTGGAAGAACACTCCTCTTATTGTTTCGTAAGGGTTGGACTTGGTTCTTGCTCGCCTCATCTCTTCTGCTTCTAGTTGGTCAAACACAGACTGTCAAAATAAACATACACACCTATCACATGTACAGCTAGGCCACTTTGGTTTATACATTTGTATAGCATTCCTAAACAACTGAACGAAAGTTGTTCATTTATGAAATAGGGAAAAGCCTGATGATTTGGTGTTGTTTTTCTAATGAACCTTGGCAAAAACCAGTATTTTCGTTGGCAATAATTTCAGCCCAGGTAAGTACCTGCACAAATTACACAGGTTTTTTACGGTATTGAGTCTAAAAGTACTGGCAGTGTACAACCAGATATGAAATGTGTTGTAACAAATGTAACAGGCATAAATTAGGAAGACAAGTCTTGAAATGTGTTCAGTAAGATTATTTCATTCTGCTTCTGCCTGGTAATAGCCTCCTTCAACAGATTGAAGATTCTGCTATGTTCGTAGGTGGTGTGCATGATGCTGGACTGGAGTTGAAAGGTTAAAAGTTAATAAAAACTGGATAAAATCAAAGGACCTCAGAGTTTTGACACACGTCTGGCCTTGAAGGCTTCCAGTGTGTTGGCGAGGATGATGTCTGGCGGGACGGCGTTCCAGTCTCTCACCGTCCTGGGGAAGAAGGACATCTTCCTTGTGTCGATCCTGCTTGTGGGGAGCTGGTAGGATCAGACATGGACAGATCTACCGAGTCTGCGAGGTGGTAGCAGTCTACCGCCTTTACTTATCGCAACTAGGCCTCGATCGATCTTGTACAACATAGCCAGGCGAGCGTCATGGCGTCTTTTCTGGAGTGATTTCCACCCAAGTACGTCGAGCGTGCTGGAGACGCTGGAGGTCTTTCTGTGGCGGTAGGTCACGTACCGCGCTGCTCTTCTCTGTATTTGCTCGATTTGATTGAAGTTCACCTTGGTGTGGGGGTCCCAAACAGTGCAGGCATACTCCAGCAAAGGTCTTATTAGCACGAAGTATGCCATAGATTTTATCTTGGTGGAAGATATCTGCAGGTTCCTACGCAGGAAGCCCAGCGTCCTGTTTGCCTTGCCAACAATCTTCTGGATGTGTGTGTCCCACTTCATGGTGTTTGATATGGGGACGCCAAGGTATACTGCTGACTGGACTTCTTACAAGGAATGGCCGTGTAGGTGGTAATCGATCTAAATTGGGTTTCTCTTGTTGGTGACTCTCAAGATGTTGCACTTGTCCGGGTGGAACTTCAAACACCACTGATCCTCCCAACATCCCAGCTTGTTTAGATCCTCCTGTAGGGTCTTACCTCTGTTTTTTGAGGTAATGGTGAGGTAGGCAATAGTGTCGTCGGCAAACAATCGGACAGTAGACGTTTTATTGTCGTGCAGGTCGTTGATATAAAATAGGAAGAGGCTTGGTCGGAGGACTGATCCCTGCGGGACACCGGAGTCGACGATCAGATGTAGACCTCTCTCCTTCTACGACGACCGACTGTGAACGTCCTAAAAGACAGTTCTGGATCCATGTATTGATCCTGCCTTGGATGCCGTACTCATGGAGCTTATGGAAGAATAGGCTGTGATTAAACTTGTCGAAGGCCTTTGCGAAATCCATGATAAGGACATCTGTCTGTTGACCTGCCTGGAGGTTGTTGGTAAGGTCGTTCATGAACTCGATGAGTTGGGTCTCACATGATCTGCCTTTCCTGAAACCATGCTGCAGGTCATAGAGAATGTTGTTTTTCTCGCCTTGGGACATGATGGTAGAAGTGATGATGTGCTCCATTACTTTGCAGCAAACAGATGTGAGGGATATCGGCCTGTAGTTCGCTGCGACGTACTTCTGTCCTTTCTTGAAGACAAGCGATACATTGGCAGTGCGCAAATCAGACGGAACCACACCTGTTGCTCGTGAAGAGAAGTGGAAGTAATGGAGCTGTTTGTGTATGTACATGTGAATTGATGTATACAACAACTAAGTGGGTGATTTTAAATGTGAGCATAATGTTTGTAAATCTGGAATGATGATGATATCATTATGAATTAATGATGTCGAGGATGATGATGATATGATGATGATAATAAAACGTTGATGAAGATACAAATGGAATGAAGATGATGATTGTATGATGATGCTGACGATAATATGATGATGATTGAATAATTATATATGAAAGATGATGATGATGATGATAAAGATGAATGCTGATAATAATGATAATGATGAAGATGATGATTTCATGAAGACAATGATAATGCAAGATCCATGTCCGTGTGTGTATGTGTGAGAATGCATGAATGTCCTGTTTATGTAAATGTGTATGCATATGTAATGAAAAAACTTGGAAAAATAAAACCATTACAAAAAAAAAAAAAAGTAATGGAGCTGCGGCCGCGTGTGTCTCCTTTAAAACTCTTGGTAAGATGTTATCTGGCCCGGGTGCCTTATGTGCGTCGAGATTTCAGAGAAGTTCACCAATCCCGTTCGTGGTGAAGTTGATGTTGTCAATGATTGGGGAGTCCGGGGAAGGGTTCATTCTTCCAGATGATATAAACTCCTCGCGGGTGAAGGTAGTTTTCTCGGAGAAGGCTGTCTGGAATTGAGAGTTAAGAATATTGGCCTTATCTGTGGCGTCGGAGAATAGTTTGCCCTCGTGTTTAAGTGAGGAGATTCCAAACTTGTCCTTCCGCTTTTATTTGATAAAGGTCCAGAATTTCTTAAATCCTTTTGAATAAGTGTCATTGTCGTTTGGGGTGGCAATTTCCTCAAAGTACTTCCAGTAAGCCCGTCTTTGATCTTTCTGGATGGTACGCTTCAGATCGCGGTATTGTTGGATGGTAGAGGATCTCGAGTTTTCTTCATCCTTTTGTAAAGACGGCCCTGTTTACTGATTTTTTTCCTCAGGTCCGAGCTCACCAAGGAAGGCGGTTGTAGTTTTGGTCTGTTTGGAGGATGTGGTCAGAGATACCTTTCATTATGGCGTTCTTGAATACGATCCACATGTCGTTAGCTGTGACACTG